ACTTCTTCCTCAAGTGTCATCATGGCAAACGATTCTAGTGCGCAAAGCTGTCTTAGGTCCACTGAAACCTCGCTGCAAACTGCACATTGGGGCCTTCAACGTACACACTCTGTCAAATCGATTAGCAGGCCTCCTTAGCTAAGACTTTAGAATCTCGTGCTATTAATGTATGCTGTCTCCGTAACAGACATACAGGATTCTAGTGTAGTCATTCACTTGACCTCACCTCGCCAAATCGGGGAGCCGGTGAGACACACCCTCCATTTATCTGGCGACCAGATGGCTAGTTCTCGTGGACTGGAGGGTGTAGGAATGGCTCTAAGTACAAGGACAGAACAAGCACTTTTGGAATGAATCCTTGTTAACAATTGTCTATGTGCTGTTCGGCTTAACGGCTCCGTAAGAACTCGGAATTATAGGGACACACGTCGTTGCCTTTTCGTTATTTCTGCCTACGCTCCCACTGACTGCAGCCCGAATGAACTGAAAGATGGATTTTACAGAAAGTTTTCTAAACTTCAAAAAGCTAAACACTCAAACATAGTACTAGTCGCAGGTGACTTTAATACTTAGGCAGGTAGGTTAAACCAATCAGAAAGACATTTAGGTGAGTATTTTAGTATTTCAGAGCAGCGGACAGATAGTAGTGATCGTCTGCTGCAATTGTTCTCAGATAATCGTTTGTTTTTAGCAAGCACTAATTTTAAGCATAAGGAGAGACATTGTCTAATATGGCGAACCCCTGCACCAAATCAATGATTGACTCAACTAAACCATGTTGCCATCTGTCATCGTTGTAGAGGATCGATAGAATACTGCCGCTCGTCCTGGAGTACATGTTTAGACTCTGATCATGCTCAAATACGAGCATGCATTTGCTTGCACCTCACTGAACTCAGAAAAGCCACATTAAGAAGACCCATTAGGGTTGAACTAAGTGACGAGAAAGCCATAAGTAGATTTCAGGAACAACTGAGGTCACACTTAGTTATGGAAACGAGGCTGACCCAGATGTTGCTTGGAAAGATATACGAACAGCTGTGGAAACAGCAGTGACATCTATTAGTGATTTGAACCAAAGGGTCATGGGAAACTAGTAGATTTCTGCTAGGTCTATTGCCCCCAAACGACCTGGTTCAGCCGAGGGTGGAGTCAGCTCTCACATGGCCATGCGTATACAGCAGGTGCTAGGGAGGTCATACTCACTGACTTCTCGCGGCATTACCGTTGTTTACGAAATTGAGTGAACGAAAAGCGAATGTCTGGCGTTTTTAACCGGGTTAGTGGACACGTAGGATTCACCCAGGGGAGTCGGAAAACCTTGATTCCAAACCAATGTTGCACATTGGTTTCAGGATCCTGAGAGAATAAAATGGCATGTGGACCAATCATTAGTCACCGGCTACCATGAGACTGCATCTCCTGAAGTTGCTCCACTGCCTTGTGGATCAGACCTTTAGATCGAAGGCTCGGGGTGTGGCCCCCTAAGAAAACCACCTGCTTCGGTCTGGGCACCCGGGCAGTATCCCAGCGCACACACAAACCAAGTAACTTGTGTGGCGCATATGTATTCGGTGCCTCCTTGTACGAATATTTGTGTTCAAATTAATAAATGAATACCATCCGATCAGGCTTCAAACATGATGAAAAGCGAAAACACATCAGATCTTGGTAAACTAAAAGTTTACGGAACGACGTGAGCAGTGGTGGGTAACGAAAGCAAGAGATGGAAAGGGCAGCGGCTGTAGGTAACATCAGACTGCTTTTCAGACAAATAAAAGAAACTGGAATTAAGAAGTCAAGTGTAGGTGATACGATCTCGGAAAAAGCCGACACTCAACCTAAATGTTCAGAATAATGGGCGGAACACATTAGGGAACAGTTTAGCTGACCTCCAGCAATGCTACAACTACCCACCATTCTCAAACAGCCTGAATGGAACATTGAAGTAGGCCCTCTGACCCTAATTGAAGTTCAAAAAGCCATATCTAATCTGAAACGAGGAAGAGCAGCTGGTCCGTATGGATTGGCTTCAGAAGCCTTTAAGGATGGTGGTTCAGCTTTAGTGATTAGGTTGACTAATATTTTAGCTAAAATCTGGGGATCGAATGTAATCCCATCTGAATAGTCTGAATCACTGATCGTCCAAATAAAAAGAAAAGATCAAAATCATCCCGTGACAACCACAGAGGGATTAGTTTGATTAATATAGCATCTAAAATACTAGCTTCAGTAATTATCAGACGCCTAAAATAGACTCGTGAACTTTAAACACGAAAAAATTGGCTGACTTCAGACCTGGTCATAGTTGTATCGACTACATATTCACCATTCGTCAGGTTCTAGAACACAGGCATGCTTATCGGAGTCCGACAATGGTTGTATTTCTTGACCTAACAGCAGCATTTGACTCTAGACCGAGAGGTTCTGTGGCAGTGTCTGTCATTGAAAGGTGTACCTCACAAGCACATAAACCTTGTGAAGGTTATTTATTGAGACACTACTAGTCGAGTCAAAGCTTATAGCGAACTGTCATCTACTTTTCCAACCTCAGTTGGTGTCTGTCAAGGCTGTTCACTATCTCCATTTTTGTTCAACTTCATAGACATACTGATGGAAATAACGTTCTCGTCGACTGAATTTTCAGGCATTGGTCCCCTTTCAGTGGGTCCACTTATCGAATTGAATACACAAATGACATAGTTCTATTTGGCGAAGACGCTGATAAAATGAAGTCTTTTGTTAGCACTGAGCAACAATTCTAGGATGTTTAAAATGCATTTTTCCTCCTCGAAATGCAACTTGTTGCTTCAAGACTGGTCTGCGTCAACACCTGGACTTAGGATAGGGAGTGGAGTAGTCGGACGCATCGACAACTTTACTTATCTTGGAAGTCTGGTCATCCTTAATCGGTCGGTATCTGACGAAATCTCTGCACGTACTCAAAAGACTCGTGTGGCTTTTGCTAACCTACGTCGTCTATGGCGAAGGTGAGATATCCGTCTATCAATTAAGAGACGAGTATACTGCGCGGCAGTTCGTTCTATTCTACTTTACGGCTGCGAAACATGACCATTAAAGGTAGAGGATACTCTTAGGTTAATTGTTTGCAATGGCGCAGGTGCATCCATTCTTTGTGTTCTCCCAAATTCTGATCTTCTAAATTCTTCATGTCTCTTTTTCTTATCTTCCCAAATTTGTTTCACTGGATTATACTCCTTGAATAACATCTTTAAACCCTAATCTTTCCGATTACTACTTATACTCTTACTACCTATACCACAATGAGATTTGAATCGACAATTGTGTCTCTGTGCGAATGTGGTATGGCAACTTGGACCGATGCATATATGTGCCTGGTCCTACGTTGTAGCTGACTGATTGGTATGGCAACTCGAACTGATGTACGTACGTACGAAGTTCTACGTTACTGATAACTGACTGACTAAGTTACTAGTATTTGATCACAGATGTCTTAGAAATATTGCTCGCATCTGCTGGGATCACAGGGTAAGTAATAGTGAGGTTCAGATGCAGGGTATTAGAGAATGATGGCAAGTCGGTTGATGAGGTTGTGAGTCTACACTAACTGAGATGGTTGGGCCACGTGTTTTGTATGCCTGAACACCGATTACCACGGCGCACAATGCTGACTAGTGTTGGGGATGGATGGAAGAAAGTTAGAAGTCAAACTAAAAGTGGCATCAGTCCATAAAGTCACTATTTTCTGGTCTGAGCCATGTTGATAGATGCACACTACTTGGTTAGGGTCCGTGCGACTGTCGTACTTAATGGTTGGAGACTGGATGACATGGCTCAGAACCGATCACAATGGCGTAGGTGCATACACTCTTCGTCTTCCCTTAAACAGTGAGATTAAAATTACTTTATACCTTTATTTCTACAAGTTAATTCTTTCTTCTTGTATTATATCCTTATATGCAATCTTTCTTCCATATATTAATACCATTGAAGTAACTACTTCTATGAATTTGATGTGCTAATGAGGTATGGCATATATTTGCTTGCTACTACGTTGTAGCTGACCGACTGACATATCCGAACTTAGTTTTGCTTTGGTAAAAGGAGCTTAATAATTTTATTTGACACATTCGAATCGTAGCCCATTTTCGGGTACTAAATCTTGTACTTGGTTATTAAATTGCTTCTTGAACCGGTGCATGTATGTGCGTGATCCTACGTTGTAAATGACTGACTGACTGAAATTGCATTTACTCTGTTTATAATAAAAGCCTCAGTCAATACCAAATGGTTGGACAAAAATTCCCAGCTAAAATAATGACGATTGCTGATGATATATATGACTGCGTAAAAATATTAAATTCACATTGCTTAGACTGTTTTACATCCAATAACTAATGATGCGTTATATCACTCGATTACATTCGATCATATCGCCTCATTTCCCAACGGGTCAAATCAATAAAAATAGATATTAAAACGTTTTAAGAAATCATAATTAGGCTGTATGTAGGTAGTTTTAAAGGATAGATATCATACAATGCGAGACAAGTTTTTTTCAAACAGACAAAAAGATCACTCATCAACAGTTGCTTTTATCTTGGTACAAACACCAAGCTAACACTTGTAATCGTGTTATCGTCTAGTAACTTACCCTAGTCGCTATAATCGATTGTAATTCAGCAATCGTTTTTTTTTAAAGAACGGAGTAGTTGGTTGTTATTAAAATTTCATTAATCAACCGACAGATAATTTCTCCTACTTTGTTCTACCCCAAGTCTACTAATAGTTCTTTCTGTGAACTGAATTGATGTAAAAGCTTGTATTCGTTCTCTTTTGAACACATTTCAAAAGATTATGTTATGATAAATTCAGTCGAAGTAGTTAGGTACGTAGTACAAATGTGTATTCATGTGCTGAGATACTGTTGACCTTTGATACATTTCATTGAAATGTTATCCGAATATTTCTCGACAATTTCCTAATTTTGTATTTCTCTTTGGTGTTTTCATCAACAGGTATAACTCCTCTTTTAAACTTTGTTCAGATGTCAACGGTTGAACTAAAATTATCCAAGTTAGATCAACGACTGAAGTTGGCTGTCAGCGAACGACGTTTCTATGAGGCTCATCAACTATACAAGACCATACATTTCCGTTGTATTATGCGGAAAAATTATCAGGAAGCATTAAAATATTTGAAACTAGGTTCTGAGTTTTTACTTGATAATGAACAATGGGAAAGTGGTACTGAGTTAGCTTGCCTTGTACTTGAAGTGTATAGCCAGAGTGAAACAGTTTTGACTGAATCTCATCTAGATGAAATTTGTGAACTTTTGATACGAATGTGTCCTGGTGAAGAAAGGACACGTTTTGTCCACAAGGCACTTCAACTTCTACAGAAGCAAAAAGATCTTCTGGCTGTGTTCAATGGATATCTCGCTCGTGTATTGTGGCAAGAAGGATCTTTCAGTGAAGCAAGGTTGCGTATCATGTTATCTTCTAATGGCTATGCGGCTGGTGTCTTCCTTGTTGCTTTGCATCAACGATACGGGCTTCGATCAGAAATCGATTTATTTATTGCACAAGCTGTCCTTCAGTTTTTATGTATGAAGCAAATCTCAGTTGCCATATTGACGTTTTACACATATACACGACGTCACCCTCGTTTAGAGCCTGGGCCACCGTTTGCGGATTTTCCTTTATTAAATTTCCTATGGTTTTTGATGTTAGCCATTGAAAAGAAGTGCAGTCTAGCTGTATTTTCAGTACTATGTGAAAAATATAGTCCCCAACTGAACAGAGACTCTTCTTATTTAAAATACTTGGATAAAATTGGCCAATTATACTTTGGTGTTAAACCTCCTGCAAATGAAATGAATAATTTTTTTTCACGGATAATGCAAATGTTTAATGATGGAGACAAAATGGAAGATTCTTTGTCAAGTGATGACTTAGGTCGTTGTGCACTGAATGGGAGTACCGATGTAAATTCACCAGAGGAAATGTGTTTTGAAGATGTGGATTAATAATTTCGCATATATCTCCACCAATTATACAGTGCCTTTCGATTTAGAGCTGGTAATATGCACATACTCATCTTTATAGGCGGACTACAAATACCTACCCACGTAACCGACATTTGAATTCTGAGCGTTTTTGGACAATAATTTTGTCTTGCAGTTATGCTTTGTGGATCTGTTTTCCTCATGCATCTTCTAACAAATATTTATTCATTGGATGATTTCACTGTCGGTTTCTTTCTTTTTCTTCCTGCTATAAACTTCTTGAAAATGCACAAAATTGTTAATATTGAAATAAATTAAATTGTGTACAGATTCTGTTCTAAATGTTTCAGTTTTGTTTGTTCATGCTGTGTAGCGTCTTTTTGATTATATCACGGATTGTCTTGTTAATTTGACACGTTTTTTTGACAGCCTTGGTTCAAAAGGGATATTTTGAACTGATACACTTGTTTGAGATTCTTTGCTGTGGCTCTCTGTTACGGTTAGAATTTTAGTTATAACCCTGAAAGCTCTTAATTCTTTACCAGATAAATGTAAAATTATTTGTGATAAACTAATAAATAACTGATAAACGAAGATAAATAGAGATCAGGTGTTGAAGTTTTCACGGTACAAAGAACAAAAGGAATTATATAAGTACTGTAAGTTGACCTAGAGTAATAATACTGAGGTCGTTTACAACTTACCTGATGCCACAAGATTGATACAATGTATACTAGAGTTAGTTGCACGCGTATCGATTGCAATTTAAATTATCCATCAGCTTACGTTAATCTGCCTGATTAAAACAGTAACCTAAGCAATTCTACAACCTGTAGTCGATGAACTTTTAGATCAAGCAGTTCGGTTTCCCGATTTTTTTATAAGGCCCGCGCTCAAATGCATCTTGATGTCAGCCAGTGCCGGGTACTCGTCTACTAACTTCTGTGGGTTTTTTAATTCCTTAGTATTTGAATAGAAAATTTTAACATTTTTCATTCACTCTTTTGCAGTCTTAATATAAACCAAATTATTTAGCATTTAATGTTTACTTAAGCCTACTGCGCAAGCCGTTACATTACCGTGTTACATTTGACCTTAGTCTAAGTATGATCAGTTGTAGTTTATTGATAAATTAAGAATCTACCGAATTACCTATTTTCTTTGAGTGGATATGCTCTAGTTTTCAATATTTTCTCAATGATCATTCGACCCAAACCTAAATGATTACACCAGTTACCCCTCTTGCCGTAGCACCATTCAGGAGTCTCTTACAATCTCTATTCTAGACTCTTCTTCCCAGTTGTTATCAAGTGTTATTCACGGCATTAATGTTAACCTCAGATTCCCAAAACCAAAACAACCTTCACTCTTTTGTTTACTTATGTGTATTCAGCCTGTGCCTGCTTTTCATCGGCTTATTCTGATTGCTATCTTGTTTTATTTCATTGAATCATGGCCAAACTATCTACTGTGACTTGCTCTTCATTCTGGTGCCTATTGGGGCCTGAAACACACTGGAATTTCGAAGTTATTGCTCGTTTAAGCCTTTTCGAGTTGCTCTCCGTGGGGATTTTCTCTACTAGTAGGTCTTGTAACAATTAGAACTTGTTACTGAGATCTATGTTGGACTGACTGAGTTTGTTAGCATTTTGAAGGAAGGATGTATTGAAATTTTCCGGTGTTGCTTGTCCATTTGTCCAATACATCTTTGGCTTATGTTCCAACTTGTCTATCACCATGTGGTGATATAAAGTTATATCAGCTTCTCTCTTTATCCCTACTTCTTCGGTTGAGCTTCCGAATTTTTTTGTTCACGCATATGCGATCGATCTGGTTTTCTGTAACGTGTTCAGGTGAAACCTATGTAGCTTTATGTGTCCGTTTGTGGGTCAAATGCTGCTGCCTACGACCATGTTGAGAGCACATAAACCTCATTTCATTCCTCTGATTGTCTATATCGACCAACGAGTTTATGAGATATACGTTTTCAAAATTCATCCTCGTATTTGACCTATTTTATTCCGTTATTCCCTGGAGCGAATTAAATCGACTACAAATGAGAGTGGACGGCGTGTTTATTTCGTTAACATCATCATTCTATCGAATCGAAGTCCGTTCAACGTGCCACCAAACTGTTATTGGCTGGTGCGTAGCACTTGACGACATTCGTCGTAATCCTTCCTGTCTTTGGTTCAGCGGATGCTTTGGTGATTCTAGAGCCGTGAGTTTCCAATCAGTCCAGTCAGCGATTCCCATGGTTCTTTGAACAGCGTCAGAACAATCTCATGTGTGTGTGGGTATTTTCTTCCTCATGTTTAGAATATAACATCTGTCCTGGAGTTGATTTATTTTGCTCCGATTGTTTTCCTTGGGAATCACCTATCCCAATGAAGGTCAGGTTGTATCTTCTCACTTCTCCCACCATTTGAATAGTTCTCTCAGCCTCACACATTGTCCAAACATTCCGTGTCCCTATATTAATTGTTATTCTGGTTGTCAGAAGGAGCACCGTTTCCATGACCTTAAAAGAATCTCGGGATTTTTTGTGAAGCTTCACAACTCTTCTATATCAAGATCCTTCAACTACTAGTGGAGAGTGTGAGTTAGTTGGTTGAGTATGGTTAGCGTTTTTTCAACGACTTTGTATTTAGTGAGGTGAGTTTGGTAGGCATATACCCAACCCTTCTCCTTTATCCGGCTTTAAGGACTTGGAATAACCCTTATGACCTTCAGACTACTTGTGTTCGACTCAGTTTTGACTATTTTGAAAGACTACTATATGTTTTCGAATGTTGTTCTTTAGTTTAATCTACAGTTCTTGCTTATTTTTGCATTGCATGACTGGCCTTATGTATAGGGTGTTCGTATCAATTTTCTTGATTACCTTCAGTTCCTATTCACCTTAAAAATTCCATCTTTGTTTATAATATCAGTATCTCGACTACGACGAAGTCGGTTACTACTCATGATCCTGTGCATACACTATAGTTGATTTTTTGAGTTGAATGATTTCAGTCAGTTTATATATTTACGTAAATCACGTATGTATCACAAAATCCGTAGTTTAACCTGAATGTTGATTTGTTTCCAACACATAGGTATATATTTAAGATTGCATTGTTACTGAATAGTTTAAGCACTCATGAGTTAGTTTATAATTTCGAATCTTTCTGTATATACTTTGTACAAATCTGCTGTGTAGTACAAATAGCTTTTAAAGTGTAGTTGATTCACGACTAAGTTGCGTAACGATATATTTTCAGGGTTCCCCCCTCTAAACTTGGTTACGTCTTATTAAATGTCAATGTGCAAATGTTTGTTTCAAAGAGGATGCCCTTGATAACTAGAGGGTTGTAAGTTTGTGTGTAATTAGTTGAATATATATAACTCAGGTCCGGTTTCTTATTTCTATTTTAGAAGAAAGATGTGCTAATACTCATTATTACCAAATAAAAATGTCGAATAGTGCTTTTGGACCAGTTTTAAGTTCAGGGACTGCTCCTAATTTAGGTAGTGTTCCATCTGCTAAAGAAGAGCATGCCTTAGGCTTAAAAGCTATTTATGCAGCTTGTCGACTGTTGTATCCTGATCAACCTACTCCACTGCAAGTAACAGCTGTTCGAAAGTTCTGGATGGGTGGACCAGATCCTTTGGATTTTATCAATATGTATGCAAATCCAGGATCAGCTGAACTGCAAAGCCCTCCTCACTGGCATTACGTAACTAACGGTTTATCAGATTTGTATGGTGACTCGAGGTTGCATGGGTGAGTTTATTAGTACTTTTTTGCTTCGTTTATTTCTTTGCGGATTTCAAAGAAACATGTTCTTCATCATAATTGACAATAGTACCGGTGATTCTGACTGAAGTTTATTCTACTGCACCGGCGGCGTATCTAGGTTACAGAACCAGGACTCCGACTCTTTGGTTTTCATGGAATTAGTAACCATGAAACAGTATTATAGTTTACCATCTGTAAGACTCATTTAATTATGGTTATCATTATTACGTAACCATCATAACACACTGTTGTGGAATGATTCTTGAACTAAAAATTGTTTAAAAGTGTAGATGCTTAGATCAGAACACCACAAAAGAGTGTGACGTAAGTGAATTGTTGTACTTATTTACCTATTATTGCCACAACTTACATACTCTGCTACTTGATATCATTTATTGACTTTCAATAGGGGAAGTTAGCTTTAAGTAATGATAGAATAAAATTGTGCAAAAGTACGTAATACAAATGGACTTTTGGTGGTTTATTGGGATATATCTCATGATCTTCCAGTAACAAGTTTAGTTCCATCATCTAGCAATACATTAATTACCAGGAGATATCAAAGAATCAACTCTAAGTTTATTGATACCAGGAATTTTTCCATATGACTGATTCATTTTTTCAAATAAATTCTAATTAGATATGAATGTTATAAATTGTCAGGTAGTGTTCCGTCATGAATCAATCTTAGTAAGAGAAACATTAAAAACTCAGAAGTGTTCTAAAGATCTAGTCCTTTCAACTTTTCAGTGATCTACACTATCCACTCACTTTGTAATAGATGTAAAGCTCACATTTTTTGTGACAAATGTTAAAATCAATGAGTCAATTCGTCAGTACTAATCAACATAGTACCTGGCACAAATTTCCGTTAGCTTAGGTAACTATATTGAATCATTGCGAGGTAAAATTAATAAAAAATGACTATCAACGGAGTCTCATTGTTAGTAGTATGGATTGTAGTGGGGAAGATTTGAAATTGAGAATGTTGTGTGAAAAGAAGATATGTATAAAGAAATACTATTACCCTAGGTAACATTTTTCAACCACCTCAGTAAAAAAAAATCCACAACTTCGTCAACCGGTGTACAATCTTTAGATAATAAACTACACCCGTCTTCAGCATTACTTACTTGATTGTTCCACAGCATGACCAATAACTTGTGGTTTACCCATATTTTCTACCTTTGTATGCTATGTTGTACAACACTGACTGCTACTCAGCATACCTGTCTTTTGTTCGCTAAACGGGTAACTCTCCTGTACTAATCTGTATCGAGATTTCCTCAGTCACCACCTACGAAATAAGCAACGTGGCTAATGTGTTCGATTATTTCGCTCTGTATGATCAATCTAGGCGTTGACGCTGAAGCAATATTTGCATTTAGACGGAGCCATATGTCTAATACTTTTTCATTGTTATTCAAGGCGTTCAAAAGACTGCATTTTGTGGGTGTCTTCATCCAAATAAATGAATAAATTTTCGAGGAGATTGGTCTCTAAAAAGTTACATGAATAAAGTGTGATTGCCAGAATGCTATGTATG